GACTCTAGAATCTGAGAACAGCCAGGCCTGACAGCCAGCAAGGAAACGGGACCTCACTCCTACAACCATAAGGATTCTGCCACCAACCTGAATGAGCAAAGAAGTGGATTTGCCCCTAGAACAGAACATGGCCCTGCCATGTAGCTTGGTCTTGACCTTAGAGACTCTAAACAGAGAAACTAGCAGCTCTGATGGATTCTGATCTACAGAAACTGTGTGATAATTAACCTGTATAGTTTTTTTTTTTTTAAGATTTTATTTTTTTATTTATTTGACAGAGAGAGATCACAAGTAGACAGAGAGGCAGGCAGAGAGAGAGAGGGAAGCAGGCTCCCTGCTGAGCAGAGAGCCCGATATGGGGCTCGATCCCAGGACCCTGAGATCATGACCTGAGCCGAAGGTAGCGGCTTAACCCACTGAGCCACCCAGGCGCCCCAACCTGTATAGTTTTAAGCCTTTAATCTGTAATTATGTTACAGCAGCAAAAGGAAACTAATAGAGCATAGCGACACAACTCTGTACTTATCAAAGACCCAAGGATAGACCTATATCCCCAAAAAAGTGATTTTACTGCATATAAATTTAAAATGAAAACTGTTTAATATTCTTGGTTTTAGAGACCATTATTATGGACAAAAAGAAAAAAATGAGCCATATTTCTTTACTTCTTTAGTCTTTAATCTCCACAGTAACTCTAACTTGGAATGAGATCTCAGTCCTGGTTCTTTCTTGCCCATTCACTGCCCACAACTAATCTAAGTTCCTGCAAAGTGAGGCTACCTTCTATGCCACTGACTAGCTCGGAGCTCATGGCTGATGTCAAATAGGTCAGAACTTACTGCTTCCCTAGGACTTTGAAGAGGAAAGCCCCAAATGAGGAAACTTAAGTGTCAAGGTCTATTTCAAAGAACCTTACTGGGAACTCTCCAAGACAGAGTTTATATCAATACAGATACATCAAAACCAATAGTCAGAGCCTTAAGTAATGGCTGACTCACCAGGACTTTAAGCAGCCAACGGGGGAAGCGGGGTGGGGGGATGGAAAGTGTACTTCGAGATACGCTATAAATCCAATATTTTTCCTCTGAAGAATTCATTTATGTGGAGTCCCTTTCTAATCACTAGACCATCCCCACCCTCCACTTCCAGCTCACCACCACTGTCGATAGCTTTTCCAATTTTTAACAAAGCTGAAAGTAAATTCCCAATTTTCTTATGATATTCTGCTGTCTTACCAGGGCTGCTCAAAGGAATAGCACTTCTCTTTAAAACTGGTTTTTTACCTACTCCCTGACGCCTAGAGCCAATTAACAGCCCACAAAATAAGTTAAATACACCAAAGTGAAGACTTCTAGATTCAACAAAGAGATAAATAAATACTTATTAAGTGCTTTCTGTGGGCAAGGCCCTGGGAAGTACAAAGAAGCAAGATATAGATGGTCAGTATCTCTATACATGGCTTACAATGTCATTAGACATATGATAAAACTAATAACAATCTAAGACAACAAAGTTACAAGATCATATACAAATTATTGCCATAGGAGTTCAAAGTGGGGAGAGACTGTGGCTGGGGTGCTCAGAGAAAGGAAGCTTTGTATAGGAGCCGGGAAAAAAAATGCAAGAGTGGTAGAGATGATTCCTGCAAGACAGGACATTTTCTTAAACAGATAAATCTAGAAACTCCACCTGCAAAATCTCTCTTAACATACATCTCCATAAAAATTGAACAGAAATTTAAAGAAAAAAAAAATGACTGTGGTTTAAAAAAAGAGAGAGAGAGAATTTTGGGATTCTGAATTTAGACTAACAGCTAACTCCCCCAGAAATTCATTTTTTACATGTATCTGTTGGGAGTGAAGATGACTGACATTTCTGGATGGTTCTGGCCTTCTTTGGTCATCCACACAATCTGCACTTCTACAAGCAAGGAAAGAAATGCTCACCTAAAGCAGTCTCCACCTGCAACTGAACCAGATATGTGGGCTAATTGCAACTGAACTGACATGGGAACCATTCCACTCAGTGTACAAAACATGATAAGGGCTGCTAGAATGGTCCTTTCCTTTGGTTACACATTATTATTTTGGAAAAGAATGGTCCTAGCACAATCCCAACATCTTCAGCATCTGATGGTCTTCTGTTCTGTATGCACTCTCACCAAAAAATGTATAAAACAATGTTCATAGCAGCTTTTGTCCATATTAACCCCAAACTGGAAACGAACTAAATGTCTACCAACAGTTGACGGACAAACAAACTGTGGTACATTCATACAATGGGGTACTACAGAACAAAGAGGATAACAAACTTGCTACACACCACAGCATGGATGAATTTGACAAGCATGATGCTGACTGCAAGAAGCCACACACAAAGCAAACATACTATATGGTTTTATGTATATCAAGTTTATTTAAAAAAAAAAAACGCTAATCTATAGCATCAGAAGTTAAAAGAGTGGTTACCCTAAAGGAGAGGCAGCTAGTGACTGGGAGGGATCCTAATGGGACTTCTGGGGTCCCCAAAATGTCTGTTTTAGTCTGACCAGTGGTTACAAAGGAGTGGTTACTTACAAGAGCTTTATAAGCTGTACCCTATGAAAACACTTTTCTATGTGAATGCTTTATTTCAATAAATAAGCTTCTTAAAGAAAATTCAGAACTGTTGTATTAAAGGATTATAGTGAGATAACCAAAATTTTCACTTTACGGTTGAAGAGTTACATGCATATTCACATCCACGATTTTTTGTTTAAATTACTTATAGTCACTTATAGTGACTTTGTTATAATGTATTTAGTCAGTAACATATGTGTTCTTAGATGGGAAATAGGTATAGTTCTTAGGATCTCTGTCTTGCGCACAGATCAAAGAGGATCTTTCTATTTCATTAGTCTTGGTGTATCCCTCTTAGAAGACTGAGAAAGAATAGGAAGAGGAGGAAGAAAAAAGGGGGGAGGAGGAGGAGGAAGAAGAGGAAGATGAAAAGGAGGAAGAAGGAGGAAGAGAAGGAAGAGAGAAAGAAGGAGGAGGAGGGGAAGGGGAAGGAGAAGAAACAACAACTCCAGTCTTTTCTTTAAAACCTCTAGTGCTGCATAATTATTTGTTTAAAAAATTGTTACAAGGTAAGGGGCAGGGACTAGATGTCCCCAGTAACTCCCACTCTATCTAAACCACAGCCTGGCTCAGGAAATAGCAAATCAGACCGTAGGCTGATCCCAGCTGAGAGGTGTAACCCAAACAAGCTACTATCTGCCCCATGTGCTGGCTGCAGATCCTATATCTGCCATTAAGTATAGAATTCTCCTCCTCATCAATAACTGTAGCACACACCTTCTCTTCAAATTAACACTAAGCAGAGAGAAAAGCCCTCTGTCCTACCCTCATAGGTCAGCTCTTAGAATAAATACCAATCCACGTAGCATTTGGAGGTCAAGGTTTCCAGGTGACTGTGAAAATGGGAAGGGGAAAAGAGGTGGTCATGGGGAGCTCCCTTTCTAAGGGAGGTATGAGATGAAGCTCCTGAGCAAAGGCCAGGGCCTTGCCTCCATTACCCTTTCCCTTTCTCCTGAGAACGACCGCCTACCGATTCTGCTAGCACCTGCTAGTCCCCCGGGGGCCCTTCGCAGGGACTGCAGCACAACCTTGGTGAAGGAGGATACTGGGGTTGTTTGGGCCGGCAAACGTCAGCCTCTGGTGCTCGAGAAAGGCTTGGCAGAGGCCGGAAGAGACCCTGGATAAACTGTCACCTGTCAATCACTTGACCTAAATACACCAGCCACTGGGGGAATCGGAGGGAGGGGGTTAGCCGGAGCATGCTCAGTAATCGGGATGACATCACTTAATCAATGCCAGGGACGGGAAGGCTGCATCAGCAGCCTCGAGCGGGCTGCCAGGAATATGTCAGCGGGGATCGGGAGGCTCCCATTAACTCGGTCCCTCCCCACGCGGCTCGCATACAAAGAGGGCACCGTCAGCTACACACGCTGGGGACAACGGAGAGTGAAAGGGCGGGGGGCAAAGGCTGGTTTATTTCATTTGACATATTGCTTTAAGAACTAAGACCCAATGGTATTCCCTGCCCCCACCGCAGCCCGGGCTGCAGAAAGGGAGCCAAGTGGGAGGAGGGGAAGAGGGGACGAAGGGAAAGGTGGGGGGGGGGGGGGTTGACCCAACCACACAAAGTAACTTCTACTCCTGGCAGAGAGGGGCTATTTGGCTACGCTCTGGGCCCCCTAGCCCCACAGATGGGGGCACACAGCCTACTCTCCATCCAGGGCGAGGAACATCCGAGGGTCTGTGGACACCAGGTCGCCGCACTGGGGAGGGGTCAGACCCGGAGACCACGTCCAGGGCAGCCTGGATTGGGAGGAAGCAGGAGACACACCAGGCCTTCCCGGGGACACCAAGGCCATCAGTGTTCCCTACATCCCCCTCCTTCTGCACGCAGGGCAAGGTGAAACGCCGCGGGGAGCCGCGTCTACACGGCGTGGGAGCTCCCAGCCGAGGCTAGGATTTTTCCAGTACCTTTTTTTTCTTTTCCGTTTGCAAAGGTCGTGAGAAGAACAGGTAAAGTGTTCGATAAATCGAACTGATGCCTGGAATCATTTGTGGGGTGCAGAGATCCTACTTTAAGGGGAACCTGAGAACCCCGCTTGAGGGTAACGGGAGCACTCTACCCACGCGGCGTGGCCAAGCCTGGAACAATAGGCCCACGAGGGCCCCCACCCCGAGAACAATGGCGGCGCCGAACCCTGCCTCGCCCCCCACCTCTACTCTCGCCACCTGGGCCCGCCCTGCCGCCCCCAGTCGCCCCTCCACCGCCAGGAAGCGAACTACAGGGCGTGGGGGAGGGGGTTTCTCTTCAAGTCTATGGGAGAGGGCAACCCTGTGGGGGGATGTCCGAAGGGGTGGCGGAACACCTCTGCCGTCCGGGGCGTTCGGGAGCACGGCTGCGGCGCGAAGCAGCAGGGGAAGCCACACATCCCGGACACTTACCCCAATCACCACGGTCTCATCGCCTTTAAATTTGGGGATGAATTTGTCCCCTCGGAGAATCTCTGCTTCGTTGAGGGGCCGGAACCGGCACATCACTTTGATGCTGCATTCGGCTGGATCCGCCATCTCGGCCGGCGGCAGGGAGGGGGAGCGGGGAAGGGTGGGGGGCCGGGGCTCAGCAGGACGAGGGAGGAGGCCACGAACCGCACCGCCTGCAGCCTCCAACGAAGCTTCTCAGCAGGTCATCGCGAACTCGGCGGGCTGGGCAGCTCGGGCCGCTCCCAGACAGGGTAGGTTTCTATAAGCCTCCGGCCCCTCCGGTCCTGCAGACTTGCCTTCCCTGGCCTGGCCCCGGCCGGGCGCAGCGCTCCGGGCCCACCTGCCCGCGACCACGCGGCCGGCGGACTAGGCGATGCGCTGGGAGCGAGCCTCGCCCGGCTCAGACCTCCCGGGCTCCTGCGCGCTCAGCCATCCTGCATCAGCACCAGCGCGCTCCGCCACCTCCCCGGCCCGCCCCTTCGCCCCGCCCACCTCCGGCTCGCCCCGGGACGGTGACGTCACTGCGGAGATCCGCCCCGCCCTCGCCCCGGCTCCAAGTGTGGAAGAATCCTGGGACTTGTAGTCTCTCCACTTGCTGGTGGAAGGACAAGGATGCTACTTACAGTTGGCTTTTCGGTACAACTGTGGTACCCCAGATGCCACCTCCGAAAGCCTACAGTTCTGGTCTGGCTCCCCTCTTTATATGTTTTCATGATCTCCAAGGAAAAGCCTTAAATCAATGGCCAGCCGAAACGTTATAAAGCATTTTCTCTGTGCTGAACTGTTTTGTAAGAGTTGTGATGAAATTAAGGGAAAAAAGATTTGCATGAATATTTGAAGCCATCATTCCCCAAAATGCCTTCACATACCAGTTCACAACATATGTTAGATCAGGGACTGCTTTAATATCTGATGAAAGTTGAGGACATTTTCCATAACGAGAACCAAAAACAAATTCATACACACCCACAGATTTTTCACGCTATTTCATTGGATTTGGGGACAACAAAAGCCTGCCTGTGATTCCCAGGTTAAGAACCTCTTGATTACTATTCATGATAGTAAGGTTTACAGAACTTCTGTCTAATGCCAACTTAGAACCTGTAGAACAAGCAGAATATATACAGGATCAAGTTCTAAAGTCCTTTGCATAATATAGAACCCATGATCAGATTTTTGTCTACTTATTGGTCTCATCTCCTACACTTCTTGTCGTAATGTTTACACATTGACAAACTACTTGTGTCTTCCACCATTCATTGATTTCTGTGCTTGTTCTGATACTTTGTGTAAGCCATTTGCTCTCTAGGAGTCATCCATTCATGCTTATTACTAAGTAAGCATATTAAATAGGGCTCACAGAGTAAAAACTAATAGAAACACAACTGGAGCCACTATGGAAAAAGGAGAATTTATCAGAGGAATCCAGATTATCTTGCTTATTCAAAAAATGATTAAACAATGGAGCCAGCGAACAGACAGGCTACCAACACACTCTCTATCCCTTGACCCTGTTTCCTCTTTGTATTGGCCTCATTCTCTCTCACTCCAGATCATTCCAAATGTCAGGAAACCCACCTGCCAAAAGTCCCTGGGATTCATTCTTCAGTATCTACCACTAGATAAGGATAGATGTCTGCTTGGAGTTTGGGTTTGGAAAAAAAAAAAAATTAGGGAAAGCCTATGATTGGCATGGGCTTAGGTGTCTAGCCCTAGAAGACTCAATCAGAGTGAAGAACTTTGCAAGATCTTTGAGGAATACCATGGTGGGAAGGTCCCAAAAGAAGAGGGATGTCATTCCCAGAAAAAGACCATGTTGCTGGGCTGGCCAAACAATTAGATGTCCACTCTCCCTTTCCAGTGCTACCTTTTCCTCTTTGACTCAACTCAACCCTCCTTCCTTAGGAAGGCTTCTCTGACTTACTAAACGCCCACAAAGGATAGGTGTCCTCCTTGTTCTCCTCATAATCTCCTATGCACATCTCTATCACTACATTCTCATGGGCAATGATATCTGCCTCATCTTTATGTCTCTAGCATCTAGTGCATAGTAGTGCGTGTTGGATAAGTAATCCAACCTTGAAGGAAGTGCTACCTGAGTAAGTAAACAACCCGGCCACTTACTAGATGTGAGACCCAAGGAAATGTATTTAATTCCCTTAAGACTCCATTTTATCTTTGTTATTGGAATAATAATCATCTCATAGAGGTTTTGAGGGAATTAGAAGAAATAATGCTTTTGAAGCACGTAGCATGGTGCCTGACATGCAAATAGTACAAACCCTTGAATGTTAGTGGTGGTGGTGGTGGTGGTGGTGGTTGCTGTTGTGTGTTGAACAAATGGTGGTAAAACAAAAGCGTTACTTAGTTAATTTAAGGAATACATCTGTTGCTTTAATGCAAGTACACCTGGGAATACAGTATTTCTGCCTAGCTGCGAAGACAGACCTACTAAAACAAACTTTCATAAGCCATTATGAGTAGCACCAATTTGATTTCCTGTCCTCAGATGCAGGGAAAGTAGGTTAAAAAAGGCCCAAGCACCAAATTCTCATCATTTTAATAGTTCTTAGGCTCTGACTCAGACATCTACCATCTTTAGCAGTCACCTTCATGATATACTGGAGAGGTCAGCCCAATCCCCAGTTTCCCCAAACCCACAGAGGATTACCAGACCCTTATGCACATGGATAACCTGGGTGGAAAGACCTGTGTGCCTCTGGGTTCATTATTCATTTATTCATTCATCTATCTATTCATCAACTATTAACTGAGCAAATGACATTTGCTACCACTAAATATATAAAGTTAGGTTTATTAAATGAACTCTTTACCAGAGGGTTAATAAAGGGGGTACCTAGATGGCTCAGTTGGTTGAACATACAGTTCTTGGTTTCAGTACAGGTCATGACCTCAAGGTTGTGAGATCGAGCCCGACATCAGGCTCCACACTCAGCAGGGAGCTTGTTTGAGATTTTCTCTCTCCCTCTGCTCCTTCCACTACTCACTCTCTTTTTCTCAAAGTAAATTAATTAATTTTAAAAGAAGATTTGATAAAGACCTCTCCCGTCCCCTCCTACCCACGTGCAACTTGAGCGGAAGTTACAAAATAAATCATTACCCTCAAGAAGCATAGAAACAAGTTAGATATCCTGGGTAGACAGCTCAGTGGTGGCTAAGAAGGATTAATCAAGGGGATGGAGGTTAAAAAAAAAAAAAAGAAAAGAAAAGAAAAGAAAAGAAGGAGGTGGACCAGGCAGGATTGAAAAATCCTAGGGAAAGTCTATGATTGGCCCGTGCTTAAAAACACCCAAACACAGAAAACAAAAGAGAAAATAGATAAACTGAACAACATCAAAATGATACACTTTTATATATCAAAGGATACTATTAACAGAGTGAAAAGGCAACTCACAGAATTGAAGAAGATATTTGTAAATCATATACTGATTAAGGGGTATCCAGAATATATAAAGAACTACTACAAATCAACAATAAAAGAAAATCTGATTTTAAAATGGGCAAAGGACTTTAATAGGTATTTCTCCAAAGAAAATATACAAATGGCCAATAAGCACAGAAAAAGATGTTCAATGTCACTAATCTTACAGAAACGCAAATCAAAACCACAATGAGATACCACATCACATCCATTAGAAAGGCTATTATAGACCACCACCACCAAACACAGAAAATAAGTGTTGAAGAAGATGTGGAGAAATCAAAACTCTTGTGCACTGTTGGTGGGAACATAAAATGGTGCAGACACTATGGAACTCCTCAAAAAATTAAAAATAGATTAACAGATGATCCTAATTCTACTTCTGCATATATATTCCAAAGAATAGAAATCAGGGACTCAGATATTTGTACACCCATGTTCATAGCAACATTATTCTCATTAACTAAAATGTGGAAGCAAACCAAGTGTACATCTATGGATGAATGAATAAATACAATGTGGTATGTACATACAATATAATATTTTTCAGCCTTAAAAATAAATTCTGACATATGCTACAATATGTATGAGCCTTGAGGAAATTGTGTTAAGGGAAATAAGAAAGTCACAAGAAGATAAATATCTATCATGCCACTTAGAGGATTCAAATTCATAGAGAGAAAGTAGAATGGTAGTTGCCAGGGGCATGAGGGAAGGGAGAATGGGGAGTTATTATTTGATAAGTATGGAGTTTTAGTTTGGGAAAAATAATGTTCTGGAGATTGATAGCGGTAATGATTGCATAACAATGTGAATGTACCTAATACCACTGAACTGTACACTTAATAATAGTTAAAATGGCAAATTTTATGCTATAAAATATGTATTTTTTATTGTGGTGTATTTTACCATAGTTTTAAAAAGATAGAAACCCTTATGTACTGTTGGTAGGAAAGTAAATTGGTGCAACCATTATGGAAAACAGTATGGAGGTTCTTCAAAAAAATTTTTTTAGATGGAGCTACCATATGATCCAGCAATCCCACTTCTGGGTATTTATCCAAAGGAAATGAAATCACTGTCTCAAAGAGATGTATGCACTCCTATGCTCATTGCAGCATTATTTACAATAGCCAAGATAGGGAAACAACTCAAGTGCCCATCAAGAAACGAATGGATAAAGAACACACAAGAACACACACACACACACACACACACACACATGAGTGAATATTATTCAGCCATAAAAATATACTGCCATTTGCAACAACATGAATGGACCTTGATGGCATTATGCCAAGTGAAATAAGTCAGACAGAGAAAGATGGCTACTATATGAATTCACTTATATATAGAAACTAAACAAACAAACAAACAAACAAACAAAAACGAACTCATAGACACAGTGAACAAGTTGGTGGTTGCCAGGGGCATGGGGTGGGGGGGGGGGGAATTAGAAGATGGGAGCCAAAAGTACAAACTTCCAGTTATGAGATAAGTAAGTCCTAGGGATGTTATGTACAGCATGGTAATGATAGTTAACAATACTGTGTTGCATATTTTAAAGTTGCCAAGAGAATAGAGCTCTCATCACAAGAAAAAAATTTGTCACTATGTATGGGGACATAGGTTAACTAAACTCATTGTGGTGATCACTCCACAATATATACATATATCAAGTCATTAAGCTGTGCATCTGAAATTAATACAACATGTCAATTGTATCTCAATTTTAAAAAACATATAACATCAAAAGAACAAGAAATTAACCATTGAAAACCTTCCTGAATATCTCTGCTTTGGCACCTGAGCACTTGCTGCCTTGCAATGATGTTCCTGTTATTGTCTGGTACCATTCTCTAGTGCTTTCCATTTCCCAGCTCTTTCTGTTAAATGTCTTGAGTGTGTCTTGCACCTGTATCTATGTAGTGGGGACCATGCATTACTTACATGCTTGATAGACCACTTCTGAATGATCAATCCATGTCCATCATGATCATGATAATGGCAAGGACAAATGAATTGAATATATGAA